GAAGGAAAGAAGGAAAGAAGGAAAGAAGGAAAGAAGGAAAGAAGGAAAGAAGGAAATGAAAAGTCACTAGCAGAAGATAGACACTGTCCAGATCATTTTATAAGAAAGGGTAGTTCCATAATCAAAGAAACAACAATTCATTGAGTATGAAAGTAAATTATGAATCCTAGAAGAATAGCTATAATTTCAGACGGAAGGAAGGAAGGAAGGAAGGAAGGAAGGAAGGAAGGAAGGAAGGAAGGAAGGAAGGAAGGAAGGAAGGAAGGAAGGAAGGAAGGAAGGAAGGAAGGAAGGAAGGAAGGAAGGAAGGAAGGAAGGAAGGAAGGAAGGAAGGAAGGAAGGAAGGAAGGAAGGAAGGAAGGAAGGAAGGAAGGAAGGACGTTAGTTTTCTATTTGAAATGAATAATGTCCTCATTGTATGAGGAATTAGAATGAGCAAAGAATGGCTTCTCTCTCTCTCTCTCAGATACCAATGACTAAAACTATATTCTTTTTCTGTGCAAAAGATGTTATCACTGACAATCCATAGTGCAAGAATAGAACTTACTCTTTGTTTCAGAGGCTTATAAACAGTTCCTGCAAACCCTTGTTACCAATTATTACTTCAGAGTAATATTGCTGGGTTACTTGTATCATTGATAGAAATAGTGCAGCTAAATATGGTTTTATAACCTTATTTTTATTCCAAATGGGTCATATTGCCTTACATTCAAATAATCCAGTGTATAACTTCAAATCAAAGTTTGAAGTCAATTTCCAGTAAAGGACTGAAATCCCATAGAATGATCTGCAGCTATATAGGTGTAATGAGTCCCAAATAAAATGAAATTGGTTACATTCTGCTTCCTGATGGTCAGTATGAAGGGGGGGGGACCCACACAGGATCTGCATTTTGTAAAACTAGAAAAGTTTCCTGCCCCTTCTCCCAAGGTGGATGGGAAGTCATGTAAAACCTCATGTATGAGGGCATGACACATGCAACATCTGTATTTCTCTGGTCTGAGAACTTATGAAAACAAAGATAGACTGTACATAGTATTCTAAAGACAAAGTCTGAAGGCAAATTATGTGAAATATCACTGCACAACAGTGACAATCTTTATTTTGATATTTTATTATTTTGCTTTATAGAAATGCTAATATTCAAAGAAGTGCCAGTATTAATTTTACTTTAAAATCTTTTGCATCTCAATAATTTAATTAAAATTCATCACCTAGTGGGTGGTGGCAGCATGACAACTCTGGAAAAAGGATTGTGCGGCAATATTATAGTTTGTACACAGAACTTTATAAAAAAATATTCTTAGTAAGTTAGAACTTCAGCAAACATTTCATTATAACTGCCTGTATGAAGCTAGGAGTGTGCATATCTTAAGAATCCAAGCAATTTTGTACATAATATGTAATGCCTTAACAACCTATTAGAAAGATTCTTCTAAGTCAATTATCTATTTTCAGCAAAGGGGTTCTCCAAAGCCTCTATTAAACTTTCTACAGATCTTGTCTCTGACAGAAAGCATCAGAAAAATAAATGCATACTTGTCTGTATTGCCTCTTCCTCTTTATTTACATTTTTTTAATGAAAAAGATGTTTAAATGCAGCAATATTAGTCAAGTTAACAAACAAACAAAAAAATCCCCATAAATCCATTCCACTGTTGGTAGCTGTACAATAACAAAAACCACAACCTATTTTTCAGCAAAAGCTATTTTACAGACTGTGTGACTGTAACTATGGAGAGCTAATTAGAACTAAAGTGTTAAAGACAGAGAAAAGCAAAGCAGGAAAAGAGGGGTGGGGGGAGGGAGGGAGGGAGAGAGAGAGAGAGAGAGAGGGATTTGCCTTTTACCTTCACCTTAGTAATTGACATTATTTACAATGGCAACCACAAGAAAAGCAGCAAAAATAGGAGAAGGAAGGAGAGGCTCACTGGAACAACTTACAATTAAGGGCCCCACACCAGATTTATTGTAGAAAATGCTTGAGGAATTTGACAAGATGATGACTGAACAGTTGCCAATAGTTTGTATGCTTTCAATAAGGAAATGGAAGAAGGATTTGTAGGGATAAAAAAGGATATGAAAGAGGTTAAGAAGATTGAAGAATTTGTAGGACAATTGGCTGGAGATGTAAAACAAATTAATGACAAAATGGAAATTTTGAAATGTATGACAGAAGTTATAAACAGAGATGGAGACAGAGAAAGATTGGATAACTTGGCATTACCAGAACTGAAAGAAAAATAATTTTCTTGAAGATTTAGAGCAATTCCAGAAGACCATGGCATTCCAGAAGACCATCAGAGAAAAGACTGTTAAGTCTCTAACTTTTTGGATCTGGATGAAGATGACAGAGAAGCAGAGACTGATAAAGTTTATAGGATCAATACACAATTTGCAAAATTAAGAAAAGTTCCAAGGAATATCCTTGTACACTTTGTCAGGAAGAAGACTAGAGATCAAGTTTTGCAGCAGCAATTTAATACTGTATTGAGGATTGATAATACAGATGTAATTGTATTTAAGGAAATTCCAGTTAGAATACTGCTCAAGAGATAAGAGTACTCTAGATTTCTGACAATCTCAAACAGAAAAATGTTTCATTTAGATGGGATAAGTTGGAAGGGATAAGTTTAAAATTCAGACTGAACTATATGCAGAAAGCAAGAGATTTCTTGAGAAAATTCAAAGAAGAATTGGAGAAAATGCAAATGGAAGTGACTAAACAAATGCCACAACAGATACAACAGGATGTTGAAGATGTTACCACATTGGGCACTACAGGTATTGATTTTTCTAAAATCTTCACATAACTATGGAATAAAAATGGAGCAAATGCTCCACAAAAGAGAAAAAGAAAATCATTATTTGAAAAAGTTAAAACAAGATGTGATTTGCTTGCATGAAATGCATATTAGGAAAAAGAATATAAAATATCTGAGCCACAAAAATTTGGGTGAAGAATTTATTTCAGCAAGAATG